ACCTAAACTAAACCTACACTAAAAGATTCTCTAACTTCTTACATTCAGAGATTTACTGCTTCTTCTTGTTTCCCTTGAGAAGATAAAGACAAAAGTAATCAGCCCATTTGCTCATCCTCAGGGAAAGTAAACTTTCTTGAAGGACTGTGCCACCAATGAGGCCAGAGCACTGGAAGATGCCAGGTTTTGTTTCTTGTGCAAATTAAACAAACCCTCTCTTTGACCTACAGCCCTAAACAACTGATGCTAAAAGTTCTTCCTAGCAGTTTTATTTTATTTCTCTGTGTGTAAATCTTTTCTGCCTTGCTTACCATGAGATACGAAAAGAATGAGAGAGAGCAGAGGTAAGAAAAAAGAATAAAGGAACATGCAGAGGAGCAATTGTGTGTGAATAAATTCCTTTTTCCCCTCAGATTTTAGATCCTTCACTTATTCGCAGTTCCTTTTATTCTTTTTTTTGAACCCTGAGGGAAGAATTTAAGTGCAAAGCCTCTTAAAGTTGTTGATACTGGTGTACCTTTTGCCCGTGCCTGCTCTTCTAACTGTTGTGGGTGGCACTTCTGCCTGTAGGGTCTGCTGACGTTGCTGGAGAGGGCTGTTCATGGGGAGGATGCTGGGGTAGGTGGTATTGGGCAGCACAATGGGTCTGTTCTTCCAACTGGTGTAGGTGGAGTTGGTGCCTCTAGAGCGTGTTTTTGGGGATGGGTGGCCAGGGGGAGGATGATGGAGTTAGTGGGTTTGGGTGGCAGAATAGGCCTTATGGGTTACAGTTAAATAGATCGCAGCAGTGGTGGAAAGGCCTTATGGGCATACCGGCACAGATAAAAACTGCCAATGCTCCAGCATATGTCTCCACAAAAATGGAACAGTTTTTCAAATATTATAACATTAAGCATGTCACAGGTATACCACACAACCCTACAGGACAAGCAGTCGTCGAAAGGTCTAACAGGACACTTAAGGAGATGCTCCATAGGCAAGCTGGTAAGTCAAAACCCCCCAAACATAGATTACATAATGCCTTATTAACGCTAAACTTTCTTAATGCCAATGACAGTGGGCAGACAGCTGCGGAAAGACACTGGACTACGGAAAAAACAGCTGAACTGAACCAACCAGTGTATTACAAAGATGTGCTGACCTCGGTATGGAAACCTGGACATGTATTACGTTGGGGTAGGGGTTTTGCATTTGTCTCCACAGGAGAAGAAAATCTTTGGATACCATCAAAATTGATCAAGATTCGAGTTGAGGGAGACAACCCCCTCGACAAGGATGACTGACAGGTATTTTCTGAGGAACTGCCCTCTATAAGTCAAAGGACATTACATGTATGGATACTCAAGGAAAGAACGTAGCTATAACCATCGAACAAAAGGAACGTGCTATACGGTAAAAATTTACAGCTGTCTCTCGAATAACTCTATGTCTATTCATTTCCT